AAAATATACCTCAAAACAAAAGTATTAAAAGTAAGTTATTGCTTTTTAAATGGGAAAATAAAGCAGGTTTGGAAGCTTGAAATTCGTGTATTTGCTTGAAATTACGGGAACATGTTAAGAAGCAAGAAAATCTGATACACCGTAATTTTTACAGTAATATTTCTGTAAAATTACTGAATCACTCTAATTTAATAAATATTACTGTAAAAAGTAAGGTATAAAATTTTGCACTAAATGGATTTTACGGTTGATGTACCCAAAGTAGCTGGTACTTTATACTATAATTTTCTCCGTAATTTTTTAGTGTAACAGAATTTTTTAGGAATTGCATCGGAATTTTTTAGCGTCGTACACGAGAGTTGTATCATAAGAAATAATACCTTAGTCGTCCGTGTTAATAATATTAATCGTAATAATGATAAAAATTATTCTATGTTTCTCATTGATTATGAGGGTTAGTATCAATTCTTAAGGTCTGAAAATCTACATTTTTGTTTATATATTAATTCAGTTATAAAGATTTTTTTTATAAAGACTTTAAAGTTAATGAGACCCGATAGGAGAAAAAAATGTACTACATGTAAAATTGATTCTTTCAATACATCTATCGCACCATTGTGATGATTACTCCAAAGGTATAAAATCAAGTATACGTCTTTAAACATTAAACAAACTTCGTTTATACTTTAGGAGGGACATAGGATAGACTTTTATTTACTTTTCCGTATATTTAGAAGGGTCGATGACTGTTTCTTGCCTTCCTGTGTTAACAGCCAAATTCACATCTGGTGCACGTAAGCAACATATTTTCGAAACGACTGCGCAAAGTAATGAAGAGATTCTTTCTTTTTGGATGAAGAGAAAACTGAAGACACGCAGTCTGGCGCATACTTTTAAGAAATAGATGACTCTAATGATCAACAACGTTTTAAAAATGGACAAAGTTCATAAAATTTTTACTGTTTACGTCAGTATTTTGAAGCTGCTTCTGCGCTTTTAAAACGAGAACTGATATGATTTTTCGATAATGAAATGCTTCCAGTTTAAACTTTTATCTTACTTATATATATTTTATTTGCACTTTAAAGCAATTTTTAGTTCAGGTAATTAAAATTTAAATGCAATAGTCCATAATAAAAGCTTCGAAATTTAGGTTATGAAAACTGTTTATAAATTGTTGCCCATTGAGAAAATCGAAATTATTTATGATGATAAATAATTATAATCTATGGTTAACTTTTAGAATGTACGCGTTATTTTGGACTATAATGTCTTTAACCACTGGAGAAGTTTTACATGTTTTAAACTATAAAAAAAATCTGGAGAACTATGCATACTCATTTTAAGCGATCTCATAACAAATAATTATATTTTCAAGCATTTTTTTTTTATTAATGAACTCATAAACGCTTAATATCATTAAAATCTGAAAAGGTTTAAGTATAATTCATTAAGAGGACATGTTAATGAAAAGGTGATATCAATTTTGGAAAAATTAGTAATTTCAGTACACTTCTAATTTAAAAAGTGTAATTAAAATTTTATATTTTTTCGAAGTATATTACAAAGTATTAAGCGTAATTACAGTATTAGAAATATGCAAATTTGTTTAACGCTAAAAATAGGTTGATTTAATAGAGTCAAGTTCAAATATGGTGATTCTTTAATTAAGCAATATCACTAAAAATAGTCTCCCACTTCATCGAGTGACAATCGAATTCAGAATATCCCAGATTAATTCAATTCTTTGGCGATTCGTTAATTCAATTCTTTGATTAGAGCTAAAAATATTAATTTGAACAGGGTGTGTTGCATCAAATTGAATACACAATTTATGTCTATAAAAATATTAAGAATGTGAGAATTATAAAAAAGCATTTTTTATTTTATTTAAAGATATCAAAAGGAAATCCATTGCTCAAATAAATTTCCCTTACAATAAATCAAATGCACAAGATTATCACAAAACCTAATTCAGCGCGGTTTTTTCAAAAATATTTCCATGAAAGATATTGTTTGTAAGGAAAAACTTATTGCATGATCTTCATTTACTATCTGCTGAAAGACTTAGAAAATGTCTGCAATTTTGAAAAATTTAGTAATTCCTTTTGAAAAATTTTAATTATAAAATGGGATCTAATGAGGTAAATGAACTATTCTCTTATGTTTTATGATAGAATACACAAAATTTCTTATTTAAACTAGTCAGGTATATTCTTAGATTTGGTGATTACATATAGTTTAATATAGAAATGTAAAATCCGTGCTCAAGCTTAGGCATTAATTGTTGTTGTTTTTGCCAATTAAATTGAATAAGATAAAATTTTATTAATGGAGAAAATCGCGTTTAAGTAAAGTTCTATAAGTGAAGTTTTCCATATGAAATCACATAAAAAGTATTCTAAATACACTTTTCATTGGAAAAAAAAATTTTTTTTTTGTACAACGTTTCCAATTGTGCCCAAAATGAATTGTACTTCTAATGCATTGTGGTAGAGAAAAACTATATACCCACGATGAACTAAGGCGTTACCCTGTTTTATCACAAACAAAAAGGAATCTGTGTCTTCAAAACAACTGGAGACGCTTACACCTAGATTGGAACAACCGGGAAAAGTAATCAAACATCACTGACATTGACGCTTGTCTCAATTGTGGATTCGCAAAGACGCCGAAAGGCTTCTTAATTGCTGTTGTTGTATATTTAATTGCCAGTGAAGAAAACACTCTTTGACACCGGATTTAGAAAAAGGTGGCAATTTCAAGAATTGACGATCAAGTGAAATTTAATCAACCTGATTCGCAAGAAAGCTGTTGCATTTGAGTAGTAGAGCCAAAATTGTATTTTTTGTTAACAGTCATTTAGTGAGAGTGAGAAAGAAACTGTTACTTCTGATGTCTTAACTATTTGTCAAGATTATATATATAAAAAGGCAAAAATGCTTATCAAAGTTGAAAACAGATTGAGTCAACATATTTCAAAAGAGCCTTAATTATTTTTATCTATGTATAAAAACCAAGCTAGATAATTTAAAAATCTGAAATTTATAAAATAATTACTTAAAACTTTCTTGCCTCCCCTTTTCTTTTCAATAAAATGTGTTCAAATTTTTCACCAATGAGAACATAAATTCAAATTTTAAAAAAGTGAAAAAGATAACATGAAAGCGTGTTTTCTGTACTTTGAAGGGAATACAAACAAATATTTGTGATCCAATTGTCAAACATTTGACTTCAAACAGAATGTTAAAAATAATTTTTACCATAAAAAATAATAAATTTAAAGCAAAAAATTAAAAATAAAATCTTGAAGAATATGTCAATCATGGGGAAAAAATTCTAAATTTATTTTAACCGAAATATTATTCTTTGAATAGGGTATGTACTATTGTTTGTTTTGAGAAATACAGTTGTTATCGTAACACGTTTATACCTAAAAAGATCAAAAATATTACATTTTTTCAATCAAATTAATTGATAAAACTTGTTCCCTTCAGTTACACTAATTTGTCGACATAAATAAAGAAAATATAAAAATAGGCAAGTTTCTTTTTTTTTTTAAATCCGTGGTATATAAAAGGAGTAACTGATTTCAGTTTAGTTATCTAGTTCTAATTTTCATGTTTTTAGATTTCTTATTATATCTTCAAGATAGCATAGAAATACAGAAATACAGTTAAATTATGTTTTATACTTCCAAAAATAGTTAAAAATAATGCTTTCAATAATGAAAATAAATAAATAAAAATTTGTAAAAATGAGTTAAGAAAATAAAATAAATCAGGCCTTGAGAAGGAATGAGGCTTTATTATATATTTATTTATTTTTCGCATTGTGTTATATTTTTTTTTGCTTTAGGGTACTGGAACGAGTTTCTACAACTATAAATTTCAAAATAACTATAACTAATATGATCTTATAAGTTGAAAACTACAGAATTTAGCAATATAATTTAACATTGTTAAAAATAAACAATTCAACAATGCACAACCAAACCTTTACTTTTAGTTAGTACAAATTACGAAAAAAACAATTATAAATGCTTACAATGGAGTTTTAAATTTATTTGATACTTAAGGTATATTTATTCTTGAGTAAGGTTTTGGAACAAACTTTTTAAAAGGAGGAATTCTTTGCAATTTTTTAGGCAAGCGTTCATCTAAGTTCTACCGTTCCCGGCAACACTCCGCCTGTGGATTGTCTTCAACACCCATATTTTTATCGCCAAGAGCAAAAATCTCAGAATTTCTCTACTGCAATAGCTAATTATGTTTCTCTAAATCGGCGGAAAGTTGAAAATTGTTTACGTTGTATTACACAAATAGCCTTAGAAGATCTAAGAATGGCAGCTTGTGTCCATTTTGGGGCTTAAAATCTTATACTTTATCAACATGACCTCCTATGAGTAATACTTCGACGTGATTGGGAAAGTATGTACATACTTCAAGACCATTGCATAACAAACAATAAATCGATCAGTTTAGATGACGAAATCTTTAAAATAGTGTTTATTGGAATTTTGTTTCACGGCGCATTGCAAAAAAATAATAAGCAAGCTTAAACATTTGGAAAGAATTTTGTTTATGTGTTAAGAAAATATGGCTTAACATATGTTAGAGAGTTAATGTATGATGGAATTACTGCTTCTTCAAGAATGTTACCAAAGAAGCTTTGAATAATTCACGTTCGTGAATTATTTCCTTTTATACTTTTGCCTGAGTAAGTACTTTTTAATCACAGCTTTATTAAATACAATAGTTGGAATTTTCATTATCGGTATGAAGAAAGGCTGTTCTAAATTTTAACAATATAAAATACTTTTATAACCTGAAGTTCAAAAATGCACGCTGAATGTAATAAAATGAGATAATAATTTTAATTATTAGTCAACAAAATATACAACATGAAGAACTTTCCCTGATACAGATAGTTGTTATTAGTTAAACTTAAAATTTTAAAAGTGTAAATCTAATAAATGAATGTCTGTTTGTACTTTACAGACTCCCAAACCATCGGACTGAGAGCAAAGAAATTTGGAATACTGATAGTTCGAAGCACGGGGTAAGTCACTGTCGACATTAGAACATTCTACCATGAGCCATTCGAACGAAATGAACAGAAAACGAAATGGAATTTTCTGATTTTATATTAAACTACATATAATTCTGTTTTATCAAATATTTTGACAGTTACATAAGGGATATTTTCTAGCTTATAGCTGTATTTGATAAAAAAGAGTTGATTGTTCTTACTTTAAGAATTAATTATTTTTTATTCGCTATGTCATATAAATTCAATAAACAACGTTAACATGGTAGCAAGGGGGACTATGTCACCTAATTTGTATTCCTAAAGTTGTTTGAACGTGTTTACTTTATTTATAGTAATTCTTTTGAAACATATTTATATAAAAGTAAATAATTTAAAATCAATGAAAACGGAAATTAAAAAAATTAGTTACATATTGAAAGGGAAAATCAATCAATAGAAAAGTAATGTTAATTCGTATAAGAGAAACATAAGAAATCGCAATACTATTATTGATGCCAATGGTATTTTATTTAGTTAATAGATTCATATTAAAATAAAAGAAATAAGCTATGTGCTAAAGAAAAAACTCATTGAGTAAAAATAACTATTCGTTTAAAAGAACCGTAGAAAATCGTCATGCGCGGATGACGCTAAGTTAATTTTGGTAATATGTACTACTGCATTATGGTAATTGGTGAAGTTTTAATAAGAATTCTACAGTGGATTTTCAGAAATTTTTTCCTGTGGTAGGAAAGATACTGTATTAGTATGTTAATGAATTAGAATTAAAAAAAAAACTTTTTTCTACCTCTACTTTCCACCCAGTAGAAATATTTTAAGCAGTACATTGAAAATCAGACAGATGAATGTTAATGCTCTAAATTCCTTATCAAAGTCTTATATGAATTGTATTCGTTTTTGAAATTTTTGCTTAAGTTTGCTACCACTCATAAATGTATTTCGCTTAAAACTCAAGTACTGAAAAGTTATGTAATAAGGACTAAATATACTAATATTGGTATGAAGTATTTTTGATATATTTGGTAATCATTAAAACTGCTCTTATACTGAGTAGTTTTAATCCCAATACTGGAAAAATAAGTATCTTACGACCCTTTGAAAGGGGTATGTACCGGAGAAATTACTTGATAGTGGAAAATTTTGACAATCATGAATCACCGCGAGTAATATCATCGTGCCAAAAAAGACGTCACTTAATCACTAATCTAATGTGATGAACTCTCAAAAAACGTGTCTTGCTTAATTCGATTAAGTAAATAATGGGAAACAAATAATAAATTTTTAAAAAAAATCAAAATTAATCTCAGCTTTATTAATTGAGTCGGTAAACGCCTTTCAGTTTTGCGCACGATTACGTAGTATTCTTTTTATTCTCCGCGTACAAAGAACGGGTATTTAGCCTAGTATCTTATATTAATTGAAATTATTTACTATCTTATTAAATATTATTACAGATAAATAATAGGCTTTTTGTCTTTACTTTTATTCCTGAGAAAATGCGCACCGAAAAAAAAAACAGTTTTTGAGAGTAATAAATTGAGAGAAATAAAATACGCTTTGAGTATTCTATAAAATAGTTTTTTTGAGACCAGCTCCAAATTGAGTAACTTTGACATGTAAACGAAACTTTCAGAATTGACTTTTAACAATTATTATATTTTTAGCCATTCTTACGATTCATCATATGTTATAAGCCAAACCACCTACTTTGCTATGATACATCTTAAAAAATAACTAAAAAATACAAAATTTAGGGAATATGAGTAAATGTTCAAAGATATTTATTTCACGAACTTTAAATACGTTTATCATAGTTGTGCGCAAAATACGAATTTCAAATTACTACAATTTTTAAGTTTTTCTTTTTTTTTTAAAAAATTTTGTTTTTGATCAAAATTCAGTAAAAGGATTCTTGTAACAAATTTTATTTTATCAAAAATTCCTGATTCTGTAAAATGTCTGAAGAATGAACAGTTCAGTAGTGAAATAATAAACCCAAATCCACCGTCTATTAGGATCGCGTTAAAAAAATACTTAGCTTATTCCCACAATTTTAACGCTTTAAAAAATTAATGTCGTAGGTCTGTTTTTTTTTCCGCTATAAGTAATTTACAAAACAAAATATAATTGAGTATTATCTTTTTAACAAAATTAATTCAGTCTAATTCCATTTAATAAGTGAGGAATAAACTGCTCAGTAATGAAGCAATAAACTAATAAACGAAAAAGCACCATCTATTAGGATTGCATTTAAAAAAAAAAGTTATACCAGAGATGCCAATCGCTCCGGACACGGAAAAAAAACGGTAAATAACTCCAAACTGAATTTTGCAAATATTTGACTATTTTTGCTTGCTTTTTAAAATGTATAGCATGATATAACTGCTATAAAGTGGTGAATTATATAAGCCTACGAATTATTTAGAAATAGTGGTGGATAAAAATCTATTAAATTGAATTTATTAAAGCAAGAATCACAATTGATAAACTACCACTTTAAAATATTTATTTGCTGTCCGGATCAAGTTGGCATCTCTGTTATACTCTTATCTTTGTGCCATCTATATATATATTTCTCGTACACGGCGACAATAAAAGTCTCATTACAACTCCTCGAATGGCAACGCTAGAAAATCGACCAATGATTGCCGCTAAAAATGTCACATGCCAAATCTAGCTGAGATGGCTCGACACTTAGAGCTTTTAAAAACGGAAACTGAAATAACCAGAGAGAGCATAAGCTAGGCAGAAGTGAGTAGTCTTTGTCGATAGATCTTTATTTTAGTATTTTGTCGAAAGCGCTTTTTTTCACGAGGCATGACGAATTACGACATTACAAATTTATTTGACGATTTTTGATTTATATCACGAATTTATTTGTTTTACTAGAATTTATTTATTTATGCAGATTTTTCCATTGCAATTCACTTATTTCAATTTTTAATAGACTTAATTATAGCCAAAATTTTAACCTTTTTAAAGAGATATCAGTTTTAGAAATTTTATCCTAAGATTTTATACTATAGCACATTTCTAATAGGTTTAACGAATTACATGTCCTTTATTTGAATTCAAATTTATTTTAATGACTTAGTATTTACTAAAAAGATGTAATTTTTTTTAAAAAAAAGTTGTTATATGGATTTGAATGATTGTTTTGGATTCTTAGAATTTTGTGCATTTGCAATGTACATAAGTTAGTAGTGAGCGAAGCGAGCTTGATTTGCGAAGCAAACTATACAAGATTGCGTAGCAATTTTTGGGGATTGGCGAGCGTTAGTGGGCAGGGGGCGCAGCCCACTAGTTTGTGTTATTCCTTCAATTTTCACACATTAAAAAACAAAACTAGTGGCATAAGTTTGCTTATATTCATTACTAAACGCAAAGACATTTAAATAACAAAATATGAAGGAGTATTATCCTTTTAACGTATAAAATTCGGTCTAATTCTGTCTAAAGTGTGAGGAATAATCAGCTCAGAAATGATAAATAAACATAAAAGCACCGGCTATTAGAATCGCATTATGCTCCCATCCTGATTATTTTATTCCTGCAATTTTCAAATTAAAAAAAAATAATGTCATAAGTTTGTTTATATCCTCTATTAATTGCTATGACATTTACGAAACAAAATATGAGTATTATATTTTTAAAGAATAAAAATTGTCGATAATTTAATTTAGCTAGATGTAACCTTTATTGAAATCATTTTCTAAAATCAATTTATGACCCATTTAAAGCTACTTAAAATGATATTTAATTCATTTAAAGAAAATGCGAGACAAGAATTATCCATTAGCTTAAGTAAAATATCAGCTTTTGCACTATTTTATGAAACAGTTCATTGATTATTCAAAAGATAATAAAGAAAAAGAGTCTTGAATTAAGGTTGTCACTGTGAATCCTTTGTTCGAACTTTTTTTTCTTTTTTTTTTCGGATGAAAAGTTACTTTTTCTGTAATCTATATCGAATCATAACGTGACAATCGAGAACAAAAAAAAACTATGGAGCATTGAAAAGGAAATTTATGCACGCATAGTTGTGTGTAAATCAAAGAAGACGCATTTGCTTCGAAACAAACTTTCTATACCCGCACCAATTCTGTTCGTCCTCAACAATGGACATAGATATGCATAGAATGCAACTCAGACGGCTTGAAATCACTCAGTATTCAAAGAATGATACTCTTTTGCATTGTGTAAACCTTCATTGCTCACACTATTGTGCTATAGATATTTAAATTTCTTTCAATTTGACGTGAAGATTTGCACAAAATGCGCTGGAAGCTGATAGCATTTTTTTTATTTGTGACTGAACTTGTCCATGAAATGTTTCCCGAAAAAAACTCCATGGAGATGCTCATAAATTATAAGCATTGGACAAGATGGTCATTACTACAACGCCTCTTGAATATATGCTTAAAATTTTATTAAGATATTGTAAAATGAAATATGATTAAATTGTCTGGCAGGTACAGCCTTAATACTTGAATCAATCATATATGTCATCAATTTGGTACTATGTTTGTACTTTGCCAAAAGAACATTTCTCTTGCCGGAACATATTCTATCTTTTTCCCCACAATCACACACAGATACAAAAATTAAATAAAACAAAAGAACATAACAAAGAAACAGCTGAAAATTGGCTAAGTTTGTATTTTTTTGTAATGCATACCCATTGTTTAGATAGGTGTATAACTGCTCATAGTCATTATAAATGTGAGGAATGTCTTAATCTGCTTAGAACTATCCAATCGCATCCCATAAAATATTTTCTTTACTTCGAAAAAGTTTTTCAAACTTGAGGTTGCTGAAAATCTCTTAAATCTGAGCTACTACCAAAGCACCTTTTTTAAATTTTCTCACATTATATCTAGGAAATTTTTCTTAGGATACATGGGATATATTACATAAATGCCAAAATATTAAATAATTAATTAATGTAATTAGCATAAAAATATGCACAATATAGTATTAAAGCACTTTTATATCACAAAAATTTAAAT